ATGCACCAGCCCCTGGTCACCTTCCCTAAGGGGGTGATCAAACCCTGTATGGGTGCTGGGACCCCTGAGCAAATGCTAACACAGCTTTTCCCCCCACGAGGCAGCTTGGAGCCTTGCCACACTATGGAAGGGTTATGCTCCTTCACAAAAGATGGAAAATGAAAGTGGAAAACATGATATGGAAGCAGAAATCTGGAGCTGGCTAACAAACCCCTTCTGTTTGCAAGTGCAGGAGACACCTGAGCTAACATTGCCTAATTTTTCAGATACTTCACCATATACCCAAATTTTGACAGATAGGTCTTTTTGCAAAGGACTGATAAGCTATCAATCAGCTTTTAGCCCTGAAACTGTTCACAACAAACCTTCCACATGTGCTTGAACTGAAAAGGCCTGGAGTGTTTTCTGAAACTCCCTCTTGGCTAAGAACTCCTGCAAAACTCAGTGTTAAATATTAACTCAGATATGGTGGCTCTTTCTAGTCTGCCTCTGAAGGTTTAATTTAACACATTTCTTGGAAACAATTTAAGAGTAATTTTGTGTAGTGTGTGATCCTCATTAATAAATCAGAAAATACATCATTCAGACATCAGTCAAGCAATGCATGCAAGAAAAGAAAAAAAAGTAGGAAAACCAGTTTGAAACCTCCTCTGTGATCCTTTGTCCTCTAATCAACAAGAACCATGTTGTATCAGTTCCACTAGCAATACAGGAGCTCAGCTTTAGCAGGACTGCTCTGAGAGCCCCAAATGAACCCTAAAACCCTTTGAGGGCATATCTGTGCACAGAGGGCTGAGTGAAGATGCTTCACTCAGCAAATGAGACACACTTTGGGTGTTCTGAGCTGTGTGTTGGGGTTTTCTTCTAATTCCAATTTGTCACAACAAAATGACAGTGCAAACATATTTCTTAATACCACATGAAGTTTGGAACCCAAAAAGCAGCAGTTAGTAGCAAAGAACTTCTCTGACAACTCCCACACTACCTCTGCAAGCCAGTTCTGCATCTTTTCAAGCCCTGCTGGAGCTGGAACCTCTGCCACAATGTGAACCTGATTTTCTGCAGAACAATTCCACCCTGCATTCTCAGCTGGGCTCAGAGAATTGCAAGGAAGGAAGGTGACAGAGTCCTCCTCTAATAAGGAGCCTTGTTTAGGGACCAGTTCAGATCTTACTCAAAATTTATTGCTTTGAGCTACTACAAGCTGAAAGAAGACACATCTGACACTGCTCTGAGGAGGAGGTTGGATGAAATGGCCTGCTCGAACCTGAATTCTTTTATGGTCTTCGAATACAAGTCATTTTTAGGGCAGATTTTTTTAAAAAGGATGCCAGGAGAATTTCTATCACAGTGTCATTGAAATGAGGGAACACCACTGGATATTCAGGGTAAAAAAACTGGTGGTGTAGGACAGCTTCCACACTGCAGGAGCCTTATGGTGGGATTGGCATGACTCTTCAGTGTAACAATTTGAAACAGAAGAGTCTGGGTGTAGAAAGTTATGTCAGAAATCGCACATCATTTTGCATGATACACATTGAAGTGCCTCATTCACATGCAGACCTTTCTCTACTGCAAGAAAGAGCCAAATTCTAAATGACACAAACCAAGAGAAGATTACTCCTCAGAACAGCCGCAAACATTTTGCTCCCTTCTCCTTCACGGAGCACCGGAAAGCGAACTATGGAGCAAAGAGCACCTTGGACTTCAGCAAGATTAGACTAAATGCATTTCAAATAAAACATCCGAGGGACACACAGGAGAGTGTGAAACTCAAATGAAGGAATTCCATGTACCTGTCATTAGGTTTTAATTGGGGTTGGAAATACTCGTTCTTCCCAGCCAAGGAGCTTATAGATGTACACAGTCTGCATCACCACAAAAATACAGAAGCTGTGTAGGTACATGTAAGTAAGGGAGGCAGCATCACATTCAAATAAAACATCCGAGGGACACACAGGAGAGTGTGAAACTCAAATGAAGGAATTCCATGTACCTGTCATTAGGTTTTAATTGGGGTTGGAAATACTCGTTCTTCCCAGCCAAGGAGCTTATAGATGTACACAGTCTGCATCACCACAAAAATACAGAAGCTGTGTAGGTACATGTAAGTAAGGGAGGCAGCATCACAGACTGATTTTTAAAATTAATCCACACAAAGGTCCCAAGCGATATTTTATTATCCTAAAGCTGAGAATTCTCTCCTTTGAAAAACCACCTTTGATAAATTGTTCTTTGCACAGGAATTCCATTACATATTTCAGAACCCTCGTAGGCTTGCCAGGACATTTGATTCACTCTACTCCAGAGACTGTACTCCAATAGTTGCGTTTTTCCACGATAAAAGTAAACATTCCCAAGTAGGACTCACAGATGATACTACAGGGAGTTACACCTGAGCAGAGAATCTCTCAAAGCACTCAGCCTCCAAACAAAAGGCTGACGTAACTGGATTTCTAACAAAACACCCCAAGCATTTAAATGGATTAATTTCCACTGAAGCACAGTGGGTGTTGCTACCTAAGAGTTAAGATCAAATTGCTATTGAAAGGTTCTGCCATTTATAACGAACCAAGCACACAATTCTTGTCCTATTTAATTACATTTCCGACCACAAAATGCTGGTGTTAAGAGGATGAATATGCAACTGCTTCCCAGTTCTACCAGTGCCCTCACAAAGGCCCAAATGCCTGAACAAGAGCTGCTGGCAGTTATAAAGACTTCTGTCTTCCACGCACTGACTTCCAAATGAAAACGATCTGCCCATCTGGACACTGGGAATCACTAAAGGCATTCAGCCAGCAGAGCATTGATTTACACACTGCTTTGTGCAGAGATGTGCAGTCTGCAGCCCTAATATTGACCACAGCAGCTGTGCCCAGGTTTCATATCACCAACTCTTCATTCTCTGCTTTCGGGGGACTTGGTCCTGAACAGTTTAAAATAGACTCAAACTTCATCTTTATAGTCTGAATCGCAGAAATGTTTTTGATATCACCAAAGGTATCATGGCACCTAGTCTCCACGCTACACATCTCTTACAGATTTAGTTTTCTAAACTGAATGTTGTCAAACTTACACTTCTAGAACCTTCAAGTCCCTACAATAACTGCCATTATTGTGTTCCATGAAATAATTCTTTTCCCAAGCCTACTCTCTTTTCCTTTAGTGCGAACAAGTCAAGCTTCTACAACACACTTGCCATGTCCAAAACCAAGTTCTTAGGACAGTTCCACAAAGCCCGAGTAATCCATTCCTATTGTTAAACCAGAATGTCATAATCCAAAAAAAGAGGGAAAAATACAAAAAACAGAGAAAAAAAGAACTTCATGGGTGGTGGTGGCAGGAAATTGGAGTAAAATTCAGGGAATGTTTGGGAACTTTTCTGATGTATCTGAAATACACAGATATTCAGCTATTTCAGATGCATCACAATTTCAGTTTTTATAATACTCTGTTGAAAGCACATTTTCTTATGGCCAGAACAAGCTTAGAAAATAAAGGAGAAAAGAAGATGGCCCCAGAGATGTTATTTTAGGTGACAATTCATCTGCAGGAGCTGGTTTAATTGAAACAGATTAAGTCACATGAACACTGGACAGAAAACCAGTGCTTTGTATTACAAGAAGGAAAGATACACATTTTGTATACAAAGTGACAGAAAGAATCTACAGAGTAAAATCATAAAAATGTACCACACTGGAAAACACTGGATAGCTTTGACATATACCTAAGGGATCACATGAAATAACTGTGTCTTTTAGTTTTGAATCTTGGTTGCACGAGTTTGTTGGTTCAGACTTCATTATTTTTATGGCCTCCACTGTATAAAGTGTTATAATGTAGGTAACTGCCAGCTGTGTTTTATTTCATCACTAGAAAATGAGTTGAAAAAAAAAAAAATCATCAAACTTTTTCCCATAAAGTTACGTAACATTTCAAAAATGCCATAAATCTCATCAGTTGTGTCAGGCATGTATGGCACAGAAACGCAGCACACAGCGCTTGCCAACATCAGCACTCTCAGCTCCAAAGAAAGGCTATAAATAGTTAAGTTTTCAGGCGAAAGAACGAGGTATGTTGTAAATGAGAAGTCTCTCTGCTTGTGAGCTTTTATTGTTTTGCATTACTTCAGCGCTGGATTCCTGATTTGTAACAAATTCCAAGACTGCAGACTACAGGCCCAGCCTCTGACTAACACTGTGGTGATTTATTTGAGGATAAATACCTCTGTCCACATCTTATGACTGCACACAAGAGCGCGCAGCAGCGTGGAATGCGCGGAATGCCGTGAGCCAGCAGGGCCAGGCGCTCGGCTCCGGAGCTGCCCAGCACTGCCGAACCGCTCCGATCGCTTCCTCCGGGCAGGAATGAAAGGAATTCTCTGAGCCTGCACTCCGTGCCAACCAGGCTTGCACTCCCAGGAATGAGAACACAGCAAGAATGGCATTTGCTGATTGCCCAACACATGCACCTAACTCATCAACACCTTACCTGTCGGACACATTCCACATCTGACTGTCAGAGCGCCGTGCAATCCCTCCAGTAATGTTTAACAACAACTGCAGCTTGCCCAGTTGTCAAGGCAGACTACGGAGCAGCTGGCTCACAAGCTCCTGGCCTCAAAAAAATGCAAAGCACTTCTGTTTCTCCTCCTCCTGCCTCCCCACCCCCAACCGCAGAGCGCTCAGAATCGGGGGAAGTGAAAGGAGCAGATTACAAAGAACAAGTGAACAATACTTCAGAAATTGCAAGGTGAATACGTATGTTTTACTATAAATAGTTACGTTGAGCTAATTCCTGTTACTTCATGCTGTATGAAAACAAAAGAAAACAAGAAAACCCATCTAATCGCCGCAGCTTTTGTGCAAATCTTCCATACAAGCTGGAACAAAGGAAAAATCTAGCCCAAAGTTTTAGCCAGGGCATGACTGCAGCGGGCAGACAGATGCACAGCGCTACATTCCGTGTACCAGGGGCAACAGGCAGGAGACACTCACAGATGTGGATTGAACATCCGACTCATTTTGGAGACGTGGTCGTTTTCACAGTCTAGCTCCTCGTCCCCTTGGTCCATGCTGAGCTTCCTCTTGTTGGGGCTGATGGGAGGAGGCCCCGTCCGGTGGTTGGTGAGCGCAGGGGACACGGGCAGGGACTGCATTCGGGGCTCACCTCTTAGCGCTGCTTCACCTACGGGAGAATGCGAGCGAGAGTGACCACGGCAGGGAAAACAGAGGTAAAATAACATGCTTTGAAAACAGGCTTGCAGAAAAGTTTCCCCAACCTTTCCCAAACTGCACAGGCACATGGCTGTACCATAAACAAGGCATCATAAGCCACACTTTAGTGCTTTATGCTGGAACAAACAGTTGAGAAAAGGCAGCGTGAGAGGGGGCAGGTCACCCCAGATGATCTGAAAGGCTGAGCTAACGCATCTTTGCAACAGCTTTTCTGCTCAGAAGCATTCCTTCTCACGAGCTGCAATTCCAGCATGGGCTTTGATTACCTCACTCTGCAAAGCACGAGTATTCGCAGTGAAATGAGCTTTGTTCCTTTTCTTATGGTTGTGGTTATAAATTCCAGGGCTACAGTTCACATTTATGCCAAACATTCAAGATCTAAAACTGAATAAACGTTCAGATTCTTAGATGACTCCTTTTATAAAAAGCTGTCCAAAACAAGCTTGTCTAGTGTATAACTATGCAAGGGAAAAATTAGGGAAAAAATTGAAACTTGCTGATGCAAGTTTTAAGTATGTCCTCAAATGTCCTTCTCTATACTTTTAAGCTATGTTTGGAGCCATGATCAAAAGAGCACAATTCTTCAGCACAGGAATCACAACGTTTCAATTGGATAATGCTAATTTTCAACTGGGCAGAGTGGTGGTAGACTCTAAGTTTTTATATCATCTAACACTTAGCAGAAAAGGCCATTCACAGGATATGGGAGCTGTGTCTAAATAATTGCAGCAGTGATAGAGTTGGCTGTGCATAAACACGTTGACATATCATTAGTAATCAGGCATGAAAGTGTGACCACAGTGCTTTTCCCACTTCAATTAAATGCCTCACTACATGTATAGCCTGAAGCACAGGGCTGCACTTCACAGCAGTCATGGACTTTACTGGAACTCACATCCTTACAGCCACAGGTCATATTTAGACCTCATAGGGATTTCAAGATGTTTAAAAAAATGCTTTCTGGGGCTCCATCAGGGGCTTGGAGAGGAGCTAAATTAGCCAGGGCTACCCATTCTGGTAAGATCCCTGAAATAGCTGCTTTTGCTAGAGTTTAGAATTTGTATTTTTCCTACACTGCCAGAAGCATTTTGTTTTCTGCACAGCCATAATTTCCAGACCTAAAATTAGGATCGTTAACTCCATCTACAGTGCTGAGGTACCTGACAATGGAAATCTTTGTATGCCACCACACATTTTCACATCATCATGGAGGCAGATGATTTATAAAATGCTGCCCTAATTCCACACGGACAAATACTATTTTGTTGGAAAAAGAAGGAGTGAGGAGAAAACCTCCTGAATGTTTACCAGTAAAAATAAGCATTCTGCCAATTTAGTCAGCATAATATAAACTAGCAAATATACACTGACCTATAATACACCACAAGCCATGATTTCTATTAGACTCTGGCACCAAATCTAAATAGGAACTTTCCATCTCAGCTCTAAATAGCAAAAACTGCGCCATGCTGCAAATGCTCTAGGACAGGCATTCAGACCCTCTCCTGTTCCTCACAACCGAAAGTGCTAACTGGGAAGCCCCCACAACCACTTCACTGTCCCGAGAGAGGCTTTTAGCAAAACAACCTCTCATAGGAAATAGTTTCAGATCAGTAAATTTCTGCATTTTTTTCTTCAGCCTTTGTATTTTGCCAGTAGAAACCTCTACTCCACCTATTTAGTGTTCACATTCTACATTTTAGAACCAAACGACATCATACCAGTTCCTCTCTGTGAGGAATATCCCTCACTTCTATCTGAAAGAAAGTAAGTCAATACCAATGTCAAAAGATTAAACTTTCACCACCTGAGGCTGGAGATACTGTCCTCCCACCCCTGCGCAATCACTCTGCTCCCTGCAGGATCTCCAATCCCTTCTGAAGACTCAAACACAAAATGCCATTACAACAATTACAAATTCCATGTAGGCACCTAACTCCTACTGACTTCTGAGCAACTCCTGACAGGAACACAGGCAATTTAAATATCCATGTAAAGCTAACTTGGGTGTTTACAAAAGACAAAGATGTCTAGACGTTGTTCAATTCAGTAAATTAGAAACTTCTCCTTTCCCCCTCAAACAGCAGTTAGGAACCTGATTGGCTCAACGGGATTACCTCAACGGGATTTGTTTAAAAAAAAATAAAATTCCATTTCCTATATGTATGGTAACAACAGCATTTACATATTAACATCCAAATTGAGTAGAAAATCTGGTTAAAATTCTATTGCTATTGTATGCTGGAAGAAACCTACTTTAAAGAAGTTTAGCAACATACCAGAATCTGAGCAGTACCACAAGGCCATTTGGCCAAAATTAATCCAATTAACAAAACTCTGAACAGGTCAGAGCAGTGAGTCTCTTGCAGGACAGACTGGCAGACACTGATGAGAGGGTTTGAGTGGCCAGTGCTCAGCGTCTTGTACAGCCTATCCTGCCTACACCAGGCAACAGAGAACAATGTCAAACTAGAGTCCAGACAACAGGGTAAGATTAGGAGGAAAATCTCTCTGCATTGTTCATGAGAATAAATTGCATAATCATGTACTGTATTTGTACTGCACCAGGAGTTCTCATGAAGCCTGGAAGTCTGATTAGAGCTAAAACTGCTTTTTATTTAATAAAATGGTGACTATTTTGCCACTACTCTCCTCCTTACCAAACTTGAATTTAAACCAGAGAGGCAGAAACCACAGAGGAGACTACTGCCCCAAACACTGGTTTATGGACTAGATTTGTCTCCCCCAGCTGACCACACTCCATGGAAACCAGACTCACATCACACAGCTGGCAAGACAACACTCTGATAAAACAACTGTGTTTTATAAAATTCCCCAAGTCCAAACTCCAGTCTTCAAAATTCATTACTGTGACGGCTTGTGTCTGCCCTGCAACTGAGAGCAGAGATAGCAAACACATTTATTGTGCCTCTCATAATGCTCCTCTTTGTCCCAGTCAGCAGCTGGTGTAAGGCACTCCAGATCTGCTGCTTTCAGATAGTTCTACTTACAACTATTCATACTAGTCCCTTTTTTTTTTCTCCTCTCTTTTTTTATTTAAACTGTTAGGCAACATGATAAAGCACAGACAAGCTAAACAAAGATAACACCGTGACGTAGTGTCTGCCTATAGAGCAGCACTGCAGCTCTGCTCTCAGTTGACAGAAGTCCATGCAGTCAGCAAGAATGTTCTTTATTTTAACCACTTATGAGCCTAAACTGAAAGTGGTACAAATTAACACATGCAAACTAAATGTTTGTCAAACCAGCATGGCTCTTTTCAGTCATACACACCACCAGGATTGTAAACAGTGGATCTTCAACTGTGTTTGCCTTTCTCTGGCAGTTCAGTCAGCTGTGTCTGTGTCCCTACAGAAACGTCCACGCAATACAAACATCATAACAGCAAAAGTCATGTTTTTACAAGTGTGGATTTGATAGCAAGACACCAGAGAAGTCTTAAATATGTCTGAGAACTCCAGGAGTTACCAAAGACTGGAAAAAAAAATACACACTATTTTGGCAGCTAGCTTCCTTCCTGACCCAGCAACTCAGTATGGGCTGCACTGAGACAGGGCTACTATATCCTATCCCCCCTCCCAATTTCCTCTCTCCCGCTGGCCACTATTAATGCATAAAGTCTGAACATTAATTACAATCCAGAAATGAAAGGCTTTGTCTTTCTAGCTGAAGATTGACATGATACAGACCTTGAGACAGACTGAAATAAAACTCCTTAAAAGCAAATTCCAGCACTGCCCTTGCCCATTTTATTTTTCTGTTCTGCATCTGATAAATGGATTTATCCACAAGAGTAAATTCCTGACAAGTTTATTAACTTCGGGAAAAAAAAAACACAAATTCCTCAGTTGTGGTGTTTGCCATCAGGGTCCTTACATTTAAGGTCTTGGATTGAATTAACATGACCTCAGGCCACTGAATTAATAAAATCATGGGCAAGAGCACTTAACAGACTTTAATTAACAGGCATTACCTTTAATTACATCTTCTAATACCTGCAGACAAACTCTCATTAGTAAAAGGAGTTGCCTCATGTTTCTTAGGGCCAGACTTTCCCAGAAATGGTAGTACATGGAGATCTTCAAGGGCAGTTTTCTCTACTGATTCAAGACCAAAGTTTAGCCCTTGTGACACATGAAACACTTACTGCTGAAAAGCTAAGACAGTCACAAAAGCCATCTGTATGTGCAAAGGATACTCCACAATGAAAGTCCTTTTATTTTCTATTCCTATATTTTAACAATCATGAGATTAAATTGCAAATAGATTGGAATGAATCAAATTGGAATTAATTTATAAACCATTGCATGTTTTCTTCCACTATCCCAAACACAAAAGTCATTCTGTGCCAACATAAATTGGGATAAATGGCATAAAAATTCCAATTCATGCACACACACAAAAAAATAAATCACATGATTTGAGATATCAAATACCAAGCAGGAAGGTCACCACAAATTACTCAATTCAACAAGTCATCAAAACAAGTTATCAAAACAGCAGAATCACAACACAGCACCACAGAATCAATGTGCAGATGTTGCCAGCTGTCTGGTTTGGGTGTCACTCCACAGCATACTGTACAGCGTAAGAGGATTGATATCCCTGAAACTGGGAAATTCCCCAGAAATTCAATCTGTGTGAAACAGACTACAGACAATTCTAGAAGTGTGTAATTTGAGGCAGATTTGCTTCCCTTGCTTGACCAAAGACAACAAATTAATCTGTTCAGACTCCTCAGAAGGAAATCTTTGGTTCATAAGACATCGTAAGCAGTCACAAATAGTATTATTTCTATAACTGCTGAACATCTTTATAACCTCCACTCAGACAAACAAAACCCCTTGTGTGAAATCACCATTTAGTACCACTACATTATTTCTGGATTGCAGCTTCTACAAAAGATATGATTTAAGCTGAGCTCAAATA